TTTTTAATTTTAAGTTGATTTCATCAATTTCATTATATAAAGTTGTTATTTATTTTATTTTAAAAATCAAATTGATTTATTTTAAATTACAATCACTTTATAATTTGAAATAGTAATTTAATTTCAAATTACATTTAAATAAATTTATAAAATTTCATTTCTTAATTGTGATTTGATTTTAAATAGATTTTACAATTTAATTATTATATTATCTATTAATTACCAACATAGAAAATAAAAATTTAAGAAAAACAAAGAATAAATTGAAAATGTAAAAACTGTTTTGATCCGGTTGATTGAGTTGACCGAGTTGAATGGGTTTCACTGGTTTGATCGGGTTTTGACCAAGTTTGACATCCAACGGATAAATATCATAAACCGACCCGTTTATAAAACCAATTTTGGTTCAATTGATTGAACTGATTGAGCCAGTCTGGTTTGAAAACAGTGTTTGCAACCTTTATGCATTAGTTGCTATGTTTTTCCATTTCTTTGTCTATTACACATACTTATATAATTACTATTATTACCTTAATAATGATTTAATTTACTTAAAATCTTAATTGTATTATTCAGTTAAAGATGACAAATGATCGTCGTTGGATGTATAGACGACGAGGTCCTCGTGGAGATTGTGATGCCGAATTCTTTAATGGATTACAACAATTTTTTGATTTCGTCTATAGTCATCCTAGTGTTCACTTGAATGCCGAAATTCGTTGCCCTTGTAGTAAATGTAGAAATTTATCTCATCACAACAAGGCAACTGTAACAGACCATTTGTTGAGATATGGTTTCATGGATGCATATTCTGTGTGGTGGGCACATGGTGAAACTTTAAGCAACAATGTTGATCCATGGTTAGCTACAAGTGATGTGGCATCCTCAAGTAATATTGAGGAACATGTTAATATTGATGAACATGTTAATGCTGAGGATGATATCCATCACATGGTTTATGATGCATTCTGTCCATCTGAAAATGATCGCCTTAGAAATGAAACAGAGTTCGCATATGAAAATGTTGGGAATGCGCCAAATAGACATGTACAATCTTTTTATGACTTGTTGCGTGCTTCAACCATCCCACTTGGACCATCATCTAATAATCAAACATTGCTTGGATGGTTATCATAAATGCTACACTGCAAAGCCAAAAATAACATAACTGGTGTTGGTTACAATGACATCATTCAGGGTTGTAGGCAATTGTTAAGTCTAGAAGATCAGCAAAAAGTACCGTCAAATTTTTATGAAGCAAAAAAATTCATGAAAAACTTAGGTTTAGGCTATGTCAAAATTGATGCATGTGTCAACAACTGCTTTTTGTATTATGGTGATGAAGCAAAGTCACTTACTGCTTGTCCAGTTTACTGCTTGGAACCTAGGCATAAAAAATGCAACTCGGTTCAAACTCAAAAAAAAAGTAGGCCCAGGAATTCTTTGTGGTATCTACCCATTATTCCACGCCTACAGAGGCTGTACATGTCTTGTAAAACTGCTGAGCATATGACATGGCACCTTAAATGTCATGTTGACTTAGAGATCCTCATTCATCCTGCTCAGTCTACTGCTTGGAAGCACTTTGATGCCGTTCATCCTTCATTTGCATTTGATCCGCGAAATGTCCGTCTTGGTCTTACAACAGATGGGTTTAACCCGTGGGGTCATTCTTTGAGGTCATATTCCTGTTGGCCTGTTTTCATTGTTGTTTACAATTTTCCTCCTGAGATGTGCATGCGACCTGAGTTTACAGTCCTTACACTTGTTATTTCTGGACCAAAAAGTCTAGGAAAAAACATTGATGTTTTCCTCCGTCCACTTATTGATGACCTGAAACGATTATGGTCGTTGAGGGTAGAAACATTTGACAGCTTTCGTAAACAGAACTTCACAATGCGAGCCATGCTTATGTAGACCATAACAAATTTCCTCGGCTATGGTATGGTTTCTGGATGGAGCACGCATGGTCGTTTGTCTTGTCCATATTGCATGGAAATGACTCGTGCTTTTTACTTGCAGTATAGTCGTAAGATCTGCTTCTTTGACTGTCATCGGTAGTTTCTTCCTGCATCACACTCGTACAGAATGGATGCATTTTAATTCCTTAAGGGCCACCTAGAATTTGGCCCCCCTTCTCCACGATTAGATGGTCATTCCGTTCGACTTCGAGTTGCTGCACTACCTGATGTTTTATTTGGAAATCTATCAGTAAACCAAACTATTCCCGAGTTCGGTGAAACACACAATTGGGTCAAACGGAGTATCTTCTGGGAACTCTCATACTGGGGGGATAACTTGATTAGATGCAATCTTGATGTCATGCACTGTGAGAAGAATTTTTTTTGACAACATCATACACACAGTCATGAATGACTCGTCCTTAAAAGACAATGTGAAGTATAGAATGGACTTACCATTGTACTATTATAGGGAAGAACTACACTTGTACTATAACAGTTCTGGGTCGCTTTGCAAGCCAAATGCAAGTTCTGCACTTGACATGGATAAAAAAAAATGTCTATGTACATGGCTAAAAAATGTGCGATTTCCAGAAAGGTTTGCATCTAACACCGCACGTTGTGTGAACTTAGCTAAGCTACACTTAGTTGGATTGAAGAGTCACGATTGCCACATATTCATGCAGCGCCTCATTCCAATTACTTTCCGTGGCTTGTTACCGGATTCTATATGGGATCCATTAACAAAAGTAAGTAATTTCTTTCGTGCACTATGTTCCCAAATGTCAACATAAAACACATGGTAGTTTGGGAAATGAAGATAGTTGAAATAATATGTAAGTTAGAAAGAATCTTTTCACTGTCATTTTTTGATTGTATGGAGCACCTAGCAATCCATCTTCCTTTCGAGACGCGAATTGGTGGGCTAGTATAATTTTGATGTATGTATCCATTTGAACGGTAACGGAAACAAGTTTGCACTAGTTTCATGCACTAGTTTCAAGTATAACAGAATCTATAATAATTTGTTATCCTCATATCTAATTTCAAATTTTACAGACAAATGCACAAATTTAAACAAACAATAGGGAACAAGAATCATGTTCAGGCATCTATTGTCGAAGCATACATTCTCAATGAAATAATAGGATTTTGCTCACGATATTTTGGTGCGGATCTTGAAACAAGTTAGAGTAAGCCCTCAAGGAACTTTGCAGTAGTTCCATTGTATAGGAACACAGAATTCTTGATATTTGCATGCCCTGATCATCCAATGGGTTCACATTCACAGACATGCTGTTTAACCACTCAAGAGATGAAGGCAACTGAACTTTATGTCCTACTAAACTGTAGGGAAGTTGATGCGCTTCTTAGGTGAGATATGACAAACTAAACTCCTTTTTATTAAAATTTTTGAGTAAGCTTGCTAAATCATAGCAGGAAAGTTCAACATTCCATTTTTTTGTCACACATAATTATTTCCATATTTCAGCATCTTTGATCGAGAAGTTGGTGTATATATGACCCCTTTTACTCCACACGAAGCACGCACCAAAAGTTTTGTTATGTGGTTCAAAGATAGGGTAAACAATATTTTTCAACGTGTCATGTTGTTTCAAATATTATTATATACCTATACATATATAGTCATATACAATATATTAACTAATTGAGTTTTTAACGAAAATATTATAAATTTGACTAATAACACGTACATATAAATTTGATAGGTGTTAAATGGCTATCATGAAGGGAATGAGGTGTTGCAATACCTTGCATTGGGCCCACATGGATAGTGAATGTGTATAGAGGTTATTATGTCAATGGTTTTAGATTTATGACCCAAAAAGCCAGTAGTGAAAGACAAACATATAACTGTGGTGTATGTGTGAAAGGAACAACCATATCTGATGATGCTGAGACTGATTATTATAGCATCCTTAACGAAGTTATCGAACTATTGTATTATGGACCACATGCGCAAATGCAGACAATTGTCTTATTCAATTGTGATTGGTTCGATACATGTAAGGGAACACGCGTTAACCAAGTTTACAACATTGTTGAGGTCAACCCACTATATCAATTGTCGGCCGGCAAGCCATTTTGCTTTGCGTGTCAAGCAACGCAAATGTATTACAGTAGTTACCCATCAGATAATCGAGCAACTCATGTATGGTTCGCCGCATGCAAAATACATGCTAGACATTTGGTCGACACTTCTTTAACCTCACTTGATATGGAAGAAATATTCAAAGATGAGGAGCCACCATCCACACAATTGAATGAGCATAGTTCCAATTTGGCATCTACAAAACGGGTGAATCTGCATGCAGAAGAAGCAACAATGGTTTACTTAAATGGAGATGCAAATGATGATGTTGATGAAAATCCAAGTAAAGGAAATGAAGGATATGAAACAAGAGGCGATGTTGGTGATGATAGTAGTGAGACCGAATAGTCGTTAAATAATTGAAGTTCATGTAGAATAATAATTTTAAAATTTGGTTGTCATTTAAAAATATAAATTTGGTGTATAAGACTTTGTAATTAACAAATATACTTATGAGTGACTGGTGACTATTTCTTCAAATTTTGTTTCATTGCCATTATTTATGATGTTGTAAATGTTTATAAAAAGAAAATTTATAAACTGCACATATTTATTTGGTGACATTAGTACTGACATACTTTATGTGACCATATGTTTTGCAGGATGTCGGGTGGGCCCATCAACTCTGCGCGTAGTCGCAGCACATCAGGGAGACGAGGACGTCACAACTCTGTAGATCTTGCATGTGACGTTACCCCAGTATTGGACGCAGGGCATACTCGGTCTATTAGTCCACAAGATTCTATTCATGTAGCAGCCTCATCCCATTATGGGAAGCAGAAGGGAAGAGATCCGAACAAACAAAAAAGGGCTGCAAGAAGACCAGATGAAAGACCAGATGAAAGACTATTTATACAAATTGCGCATAAAGGCACCTTCTTGGATGTTGAAGTCCCTAGATTGATTATGACCCTATAGAAGAGGGTTTATGATGGTGATTACTTCACCTATGACTTATTCCCAGAACAGAAAAGGCTACAAGTGTGGGAGTTGTTTAAGGTAAGAGTAACTATCATTTCATACATAATCCTTCCATCACATATGTAGCATATGATTAATGATAACGTAACAACATATATGATAAAGTATAAGTCACTATTGTTGGTGTATTGGTCGATATAGGTAATTTAATGATATGAGTACTGCATACACTTAAAAAAAAAAAAGAAAAAAGAAGAAAAGAAAACAATCATCATATGACTTTAGTAAAACAATATGGTATCATAATAGTCATCATATGACACAAAAATCCTTATAATTCTAAGTTTGTTAATAAAGTATTAAAAGTTTTAATTCGTTTCAATTAGCTCTTTCGTATGGACAAAATGGTAATTAAGTATATACGAAAAAATGGGATATGATATATATACATGTGTTATTATGCTATATGTTATTAAGTTACATGGAAATAATTTATTTGTATGTGGTGACAGACACATTATCAATGGGGTTTAGAGGATGAGAAGGCAGTCCGAAAGGCGTTCTTAAGATCAATGAAGAAAGGATGGGGCGATAATATGAAGGATGAACGGGATAAGTGGCGTGCAAACGGTGAGTATAGGCCGGTATGGGTGCCTGAGCACCTATGGCCTACATTATGCGCTTATTAGGATTCCACTGAGTTTCACAATCTTAGCAAGAGGGGGAAGAAAAATCGAGCATCTGGGGAACGAGTTACACACACTACAGGATCAGTGAGTTTTGATGTACATGAAGAACAGATGGTAAGTAAGAAAAGAAAGAAAAGTGTATATATATAATAGATAATGAACACAAGTTATATTATTTTTGTATAATTATCGATTAGCTATAAATATAATAACTTGCTAACCTCGTATAATATGGTTGTGACACACAGACCAAAGCTGTTGGGGGGGTAAGGCTAGCACACCAAGAGCTATATAAGGAAACACATATTTTACGAAAAGGTGTCCCCCAAGGACAAGAAGCTCCATGGTGTGGCGACAAACATAAGACTCGGCATGTAAGTGTGAACATACTAAATAAAAGAATTTCTATGAGTGACATAGATTGTTAGAAAAAGTGAATAAAAGGATTATTAATAAAGTTAGTGGTGTTAAATAAAATATAACAAAAATTTTGCATGAGTAAGTATTAGTATGTGTAGGTGTTAATGAAACAATTTTGTTTGGGTATTGATTGTCACTCGATGATTGCTACTTTGTTATCACTTGTTCGTAAATAATAATGATTAGATTTTCAGCATTGTTATGTGTATACAACATTTAAAAATTTGCAGTTATATGTTGTAGTTTTTTTTTGCATTACTTTTGTAGGATACATTTGTCAGTGAGTGCTCTGCTACATATGGCTCGGACTCAGCATCATGGCCACCTCGGGACAATGACGCTTGGGCAATTGCTGTGGGGGGATGCCAAAGCAATATCATGCCAGGAATTGGTTCATAGGTAAACCCAGAGGAACTTGGGTTTACATATAGAAAATGACAACCAACAGGGACTTTATATGTGAGCCTAATGATATCAGACATGACTAAAAAACAAGCCAAAGATAGGGAGGCAATGCAAATGATGCGAGACGAAATAGGGCAAGTCAAAGAGCAACGAGAAGTAATGCAACGGATGCTGGAAGACATGGGGAGGATGCAGGCATCTCTATCGCAGCAATTTGCTGCTTTTAGTGCCTACGGGATGCGCTCGCCTAGTGCTACCCCATCATTTCCTTACACTGGGCAAGCATTTCCTCTTGTAGGGACATCGTTCCCTATTGCTCGGCCATCGTTTCATGCTAATGGGCCATCATTTCCTCATGCAATGCCAATGAAAATGCCAATAGAAGCTACATTCCCCATAGGCCAAATGGGGAGACAATCAAGATCTCCAGGTACATCTTCAGCCAATCCCCCACAAGATGATTATGGTTACCAGCCGAGATTTGATGTAGATTACCAAGGTCCATTTGGGCCGGAATGATCAGTGTGCATGAGGTTGCGAACGCAAAACTTGGCATGTTCTTGATACTTGAGGAAAAGACTTTTAGTTTCTGGGTTTGTGATTTGAACTTGTTAGGACATTGGTGTATATGTCAGTTGGAATTGAATGGTTTGTGGTAATATTAACTATATTATTATGACTTGCAAGTTTAGAATAGCTAAATGGTCATGTTAAATGTTGCAAGTGGTACTTATATACTTATCTTTTAATTAATGATTATGGGATGAGGGAATTATATAAGTGGTACATTTTATAATAATGTGATGAATTGAAAATATGTGATATGATAAATGACATTGTATGTAATGTGATATGGTAAAATCAAAGTGTAGTAAGAACAAGTACAAAAGTTGGGGTATGTTAGAAAGGTTCCAGCATTTCAAGCATGTTAGAGTCGACTATATACATCAAGAATCGACTATCAACCCTCCAAGAGTCGACTGTATAAGAGCAACATTGGACTCCTAAATTCCATCGATCATGTGCTGCAGGTTAGAGTCGACTTTGTACATAAAGAGTCGACTCTAACTCTTCAAGAGTCGACTATATAAAAGCAACATTTAACTCCCAAATTTTAGAGAGGTTCGAGAATCCTACTGCATGTTAGAGTTGACTCTATGAATGAAGAGTCGACTTTAAATCCTCAAAGAGTGGACTATATAGGATTAACATTCGACTCCCAAATTCCAGAGAGATTCCAGCATCCTGCTGCAGGTTAAAGTCGACTCTATGAATGAAAAGTCGACTCTAAACCCTCCAAGAGTCGACTATATAGGATCAACATTCGACTCCGAAATTCCAGAGAGGTTTGAGCATCCTGCTGCAGGTTAGAGTCGACTCTATGTCGACTCTATGAATGAAGAGTCGACTCTATGTCGACTCTATGAATGAAGAGTCAACTCTATGTTGACTCTATGAATGAGAGAGTCGACTCTATGAATGAGAGAGTCGACTCTATGAATGAAGAGTCAACTCTATGTCGACTCTATGAATGAAGAGTCGACTCTAAATCCTTCAAGAGTCGACTATATAGGATCAACATTCGACACCCAAATTCTAGAGAGGTTCGAGCCTCCTGCTGCAGGTTAGAGTCGACACTAATGCCTCCAAGATTCGACTGTGAAAGAGCAACATTCGACTACCAAATTCCAGAGAGCAAGGAAAGTTCCCAGTGGTGGGTATAATCGACTCTGTTCTTTTAAGAGTCGACTCTTTTGGATAAAGAGTCGACTCTTTTGGATAAAGAGTCGACTCTTATATTAAAATTCGACTAAGGGCCAAAAATTACAATAAGTTTATGTGAAATATTTATGTACTATGATATACATGTTGATACATATTTTTAAATAAATTAGTGTTTTAAATTATTTATATATACTAATAAAAAATTCAATTATATTAGTTAATTTATTAGTATTAAATAAAAATTAATAGATTAATAATAATTTAATAATAAATAAAATTTTAGGTATACAAAATTTTTTTAAGATTAAAAATTAATTAACATATATTAATTTTAATAATTAAGCAGTGGAGGGAAAAATATTAATTTTAAATTTTAGCAATATGTTGTACGTTGCTGATGAGTATAAATTTAAAATTTGAATATATTTTAGCAACATAGAGCATGATGGTAATAGTGGGATGGACTTTCAGCAACATGGTTCTTGTTGCTGAAAGTCCTTTATATACCCC